ATAAATGAGGTAACTTACCTCCTTAGCGAAAAAAGCGATTTCGAGTTATAAATGCATATTTTGTGAACAAATAAATAGAAATATTTGATGAACATTACATTTTATTAATTATTATGAATGAATATTTATAGTAATTGTACAGTTATTACACTTAATAACATTTATAAATTTGGATAATTATTCCCCTCGCGTTTACTATTTGTCACATTTTTCTCAAAATGATTTGACTGCTCTATTTCAGACACCGGAATCTCAATATTATCTGACTGATCCATTAAAACAACATGATGCGATGTACTACTAAAACCTAGAAGTCATTGTAAAGAATCCTGTTGGCTATTTCATTTTTGTTACTTAAACTGTCAGCATCATAACTTTCTGCAATTGTGGCTGATTTCCACCCGCACCATGTGTCTTGATTGCTAATACATCAACTCCTGTAGTGGCCAGTAACGTTGCCGATGTTCCTCGGAATTAATGGTCTGTATATGTTTCAGGATGTTCTAGTTTCAAAACTGTGCAATTTTAATTAGGAATCATAGAAAGAGTATTCTTGCCGACTGGTTGGTTGTAACATCTACCTGCTTGATAGCGCATAAAAAAGCGTGAAATTTCAGTTTTAATTTCCAATCTAATCTTGATATATTTCTAGAGAATTTCTAGCTGAGAAACAGAACCCAGACGAGAAGTAACTGTAAAAGTACGTGACATACCATTTTTAGAATCTGGAATTGTAACTACAATAATGTCATCGAAAATTTTGAAATTGACATTGCCCAAAGTAAGTTTGCATAACTCATCAGAACGGCATGCTCCTGCAATACCTATGACCTTCATAAGCAAATATGTGTTCGGGTGCCTGAATGAGAAAATCGTTGACTTGTTCTCTTGTAAAAACGTTTGACTTTTTAGGTGTATAGTCGTCATTCTTACGTTTCAAATAGTTAACTTAATTATTGAGTATTCACTTCACAAACTCGCCGGTGACTTTAAAGTTCTTGACTTCTCCATGAAATATGCTAGCAGTGACATTTCAGAAACACCAGTATTTTTGTTTTGGCACCATTGAAATTTCTATATGCTGGTCCGTAGCGCACTTTCGACTTCTCGGGCAATAGAAATTCACAGGCAGCATTTGCTGCACTTTCTATTTAAAAATCACTCATTTAGAAATAATAAGTCAAAACCAGCAAAATTGCAACTTTTATGTAGCTTTGTTTATAAACACTTCAGAAACGACAAAATCCTAACAACCAAGGCGACTTTGCAAGATTTCGAATAATGTCGAAATGAATTGATTAAGAAATGTCAAAAAATAAAACCTAATCTTTATTTCATTAACCATAAAGAACTGTGGGAGCAGATATAATGTTATACCCCACGCAGCAGTTAAGTGTAATTTACCAGTCTCGGACTCTATTGCCAGCCATCGCTCCGCTCGGGCGCAAAATCGTCCTCGACTGGTAAATAATACTTACCTCCTTTATGGTGTAAATAACTATTTCCACATATGGCCAAAAAGTACAACTTAATTTCTATTTAAAACTAAAGTGTTAAATTAATATTTGATTTAGAGACTAAAGTGCAAAGGATTAAATTTAGTTTTAATACTAGAGGAATTATTGTGTTACCATTTACATTTTATTTACTTCAGACTAAGGAGATTGGTATCTAACAAGTATATCACAAAACTATAGTGACTTTAATCCACGAGATTAAAAATACACTCTTGTTGTATATTATAGAAATTTACTATTGAACTTGATTTAAATGCTTTTCCTACCTATGGACTTGACGAATTAAAAGTAAATATATTTTCTGGGTATATAAAACCACTCATTATTCTCTGAAATTAGGTACTTTAGCAAAAAATAGTGGACCTCACAGCTAAAGAACACTAGATTAATATTTTCTAATTAAATTGGTGTTAATTGACACCAAGCAGGAACCCTTTGTACTATTTTGATTGCAATGGGGCACGTTAGACAACAAGAGCAGTCATTTGTTCCTTGGCTATATAAACCGACGATAAGGCGAGCCGAACCCGACCACTTCCTTAATAACTCCTCCATATTACCGCATTAAATTCCTGGTAGTCGATAATAAAGTAACATTTATGTCGTGGAGCTTGAATCGTACAAAGTGACGTTTACAATGGAACGTCATGCGCTCCCAGCTCATGACCGACCGTACGAGGAACACGAGAATAGGCGCTCCTAGATGGATTGAGAAGTGCACAACAATACGTACGGCCATTCATTTGGACACAAATATGACATATGTAGACGTTCGATGTGTACGCGGTTCAAGTACCGCGTCTCGAGTTCGACACACAAAGCGGAAACCGTCGATAGCTTTGTGTTTGAGGTACTATTCAAAGGGAATTACGCGGATGTTGAGCTTGATTCGTGTGCCGACAATAGTTTCTCTCGATGTCCACTTTAGACCGGAGGCGTTAGTTTTAATTCCACATAAGCAGAAATATTTCAAAATTTACACGCTAACAGTTAAACATCTTGTAAAACAAATATGACAATTTTGTCTCATTTGGGATTTGGGAAGACTAAAGTGTTAAATTAGTTTTTACTTTCAACTGCTACACTTTTAATATTTCAGAGATTAAATTGTGACCAAAAGCACGCCAATATTAACTACATCAGGTTAAAGGACAATATATAACAAAGAACTAAAGTGCCTTTCAATTGCTTAGATGATTGTCACGCGCATGATTAAAAATTGCACATTAGTTTCTTTGTATATGATACAAATACTTTTAAACCTGATATAAATATCATGTTTCATCAATAGTTTCCACACTTAAATAAATAAATTAAATATGCCACTTTAGTATCTATTTTTAGGGGAACTAAAATGTTAATCTTCGGGAACTAAAATATTCTAAGGGATTGTAATTCTTCAAAAGATAAAAATATTTACCAAAAACATAAATCTTAAAAGCTAAAGTACAATGCCTAAAACATGTAGAACTAAAGTCTTTTTTTATTATCATAGGTAGCTGTTTAAATTTCACCAATACACTTTAGTCCGCAAGTATGTAACATATTCCGAGTGTTGTCAAACTTGTTTAAAACGCATGCTTTATTAATATTTCCATTATCCATGGATTAAAAGTACCATTTTAGTGTCTATTTAGGAGACTAAATTATATTTATTTATAACTAAAATGTTTAGAGATTTACTTTTAATAATTCACGCATTAAATAGTCAATATGTCAAAAACATTTCAATCTTAGATATTTCAGACTAGGAAGCATGTAAACATAGAACTAAAGCTCGTTATAATCCCTTTGGGTGATTAATCCATTCTATTAATACTTTCCACTGTTTTTTTTAAAGTAAATTTAATCTAGGTGGCTAAAATATTAAATTAGAAATATATTTTGCTGACGTAATATTTACACAGAAAATTAAAGGTTATTCCTTTGGATGGCAATTCAAACAGGACAATATTTAAATATACACTTTAGTCCCTTTAGTGTAAACAAATAAATGTTTTTTAAATCAAGTTATAATTTGTTTTTTAAACCCATTTGAACTTTTGTCTATGCCGCCACTGGCAGCTCCCGAACTCTGTTGTTTCTGCAGCTCTATCAAACTGTTTTCAAACTATCAGATATACTCGGTCACTTAAGTTGTCATATACTTTCAGCGAGTTTAAGGTCACGAACGAATGGGTTAAACATCTCTGATAGTTTCAAATCAGTCCTCTACTGCTGCAGAAACAGTATAACAGTATCTTAATCAATTTGAAATTTAAAAAATAAACTTACCTATGACAAGATCAAAGGTAGTATCAGTATAAAAATGACTCCAATGCAATGTTACACAATGTATACAGGGTGATTAAGTCATAATGTCATTAATTTTAAAGGAAGATAGGGAAAAATGAGTAGAATACGACTGCGCGATTTAAAAAATTTTAAAGTGCATATTTACGCTTAACAGTATTTTCAAATCATTATTTAAACCCATTTTCAGACCGCTGCTGACCGCTGACCTACAAAGGTTTATCGAGAGTGACTGAGAAACCTACCGTAATATTTGGTCATTAACCTAGCTTTTAATGTCTTTTTACTACTTTGTGAACAACAACGAATAAACAAAGCTTTTTACCTAAACACATGCATGAATGAGATATTTTTTTACATTTTAAATATTAACATGTATTTGTTAATAAAATCAAATGTATAAGGATAATAATTGGTTTCGAACGTTAGGTTATTTTTTTATTTTGGTAGTTAGTATCTTTAATATTGTTAACGTTTTCATTATGTTTTATATTGAATATTAGTTAGTATTATGTTCAATTAATTATCCCGTTTGTAGTACGTATAGCTTATTGTATGACTTATTGCTTTTCAAACGATAGTACGGCTAAAAAAACACTCAGTCATTCGTCTATAGCACTCTGTTATTAAAACGGGAACCGCTGCACTTTGATTTTGAAACCAATTACAAAATTCAAGACGACTGGGGAAATCAGCTGTTTCGCTTCAACGTTCGAAATTTCTGTGGTGCGTCGGTGCGTTCCCAAATGTGATGCAAAGTAGGGCGCCGAATTAGCGGGAGTTAAGAAGTAATTGCTTATTTTTTAAAAGGTTTTTTTTCGATTTTCTGTCTTCCGAATATGTGGTTAAAATTAATGACGTTATGACTGAATCACCCTTTATACAGGTCAAAAACGTACCATATTAGATTTGTTACTGAATGTACTGTTACCGAACCAAGTAATACAAGCAGCAAATGATTCGATCGATCTCTTAATTCATCAACAACAATAGTATTATTTCGTCTATTTGTTCTAATCTAAAAGCGACGGCAACGACCTCGGCGTCTAACGTACCAAAAAATCGATTAGCCAGACCGATGACTGATCGAAATGGGAACGGACCTTCCAAAAATTATTCGAATACTCATCAGTGCGAAGCAGTGGACCGCGACGAGGTGCCAGCGGACGATAACAAAGAAAGTGAACTTACCGGTCGGGCATTCGCAGGTGTAGGTGTGCTTGTCCCTTTGCCGGCATTGGCCGCCGTTCAGGCACGGGCTCGGGTCGCATGGGATGTACTCGCTCTCGCAGTTCTGGCCCGTGTAGCCCTCATCGCAGGTACATCTGGAACAAATGCTACGGTTAGACGACAGAAAAATCGAAACAGAGCACTAGTAACTAAATTGTAACTAACCAAACTGAATTAAAGTGCACCGTTTAGTTTTGAGAATGGAAAATGGCTTTAGTCTCCAAGAATATATGTAATTTTTTATCTTAATATATAGTGGGATGAATACAGGATACAGGGAACAAATACTAATAAATAATGTTGGAGCCAAAATTTGATAATTGGGCTGAGCACAGGGTGTATAAGATTTTGAAAAATATCACAAATATGCAAATAATCCAAACAAGTTTGACGTAGATTAATGAAACTTGGGGAGACAACTTCGTAAATAAAGTAAATATTATCGAGTACTCGTATACAATTTTATCAACCAGTAGCGGAAATGTTGGGAAATACCTACTCACTAAGAAAAGGATATTTTATACGTTCATCTGGTTCACAATTGTATTTCAAAGAAAAAATCCCCGTTATTTTCAGTGAACTCGGTGAACTTTTACCTTTATTTAAATAAGACGCCAGTTCATTTAATCCATATTCAAATCTATCGTGTCTGTAAAGTGTCAAAGAAGCGTATCTGTCTTTAATTATTTTTGAAATTCGTTGTAATTTAATAAAGTAAGTAAAATGTCGCGGATTCCATTATATTTTTTTCATTTACAAAAACAAACAATTTAATATTTGGTTTTCGCCGTGTTAAAAAACAAAACCTTAAACATGTCTCAATTTGGCCGATCCACTATTCACAAACGCTCCCTGTATAGAGGCGTGCGCTGTACGGACCTTATTAAGACATAAAAGGCCATTTTGAGATGGCGTTAAGTATTTCTCTGTGCCTTTATGTCTTTTAAAATGTATCGGGCTTAACAAGTTCTTTATAGCTGAAGTTTGCCATATTTATTTGTCTATTGTCTCAGAAATTACCTAAAATGGTACTAGAGCTGAAAAAAGAAGTATTTCAATGACGTTACAGTAAAAATCTTGTCACGTACAAAGTCCACTTCAAGTCGACCAAGTGGAGATTTCAGAAAATCGGAAAAGATACAACTTGCGAAAGAACAAATTTTAATATGGCGTCAGTTGCTACAATAAGTTTTTCGGAATAGAGAATAGAATAATAATGCTAGTTGTATTATATCTACAGGATTTACGCATATATATTTTAATCACTGCCTACATGGAATGTAATTAAAACCCTACACACCGATGGTTGTCGAATTGATTGATCCAGAGCTCGGAAGGCGCGGCTCTTAACAGAGTCGTACTCGGCTCACTCTCCCACTTTTTATTTTCAATTCCTTCCTAGAATTTGTTTCGGCTATTTCATGGTTTCATTTTATACAAATTCTGCATATACAGTAGGTCCACAGAAAAGGTGTTGAATAGGAAAAACTTTCTTATTTTTCATTTTATCAAAAAAAGTTACACTTGATTGATTTTTGCTGGTTCTTAAAGTAAGATTGGAAAAGAAAAATTTAACATTTCTTGTACGGAGTATTCAAAAAAATTGAAAAAACTTGAAGAGTAAAGTGCACTTATTTGTGTATATGTGGAAATAAGTTACTAGGAAAAGGTGTTCAAAAGTAAAAGGCAGTCTTTAATATTAATTTTCGAACTACTTTTATTTTCGGACTACTTTTATTTATTTGTAATCATTAAATTTATTTTATACAAACTAAATTATTTAAGGACTGGCTCAGTATTGCGAATACCCCAAGTGAAAAATAGATACAATGAAGATGATGCAAGCACTTTGTTGGTATTACATTCAGTAGAAGAACACCCCAAATTATCATTAAGAAGAAGAGCTGAAAATCTCCTATTTGTTAAAAAGTCGCAAATTCAGAAGATCGCAATAAGAGATACATCCATATACAAGCCAGATTTTCAACCAATGGTGCTGTGGCTTCGCAACATGCACGACATTGGAGTCATTCTAATACGCATTTTCGGATACCACAGAGGCGTCAGGACTTTACTAAAGTAAATGTGTGGTGCGCCACTTCTTACTACGAAATAATACTTCTTTAACACTTCCTGTAATGCGGATAGTTACTTAGATATTTTCTTGACGGTGAATTAGAAAACCTTCCGTTAGAATACCGTCTTTCATTTTATTTTCAACAAGATAGATGTCCAGCTCATTATGCGGCAAGTGTAAGACAATGGTTAGACTATACATTTCCAGACCAGTGGATTGGGAGAACCAGTTCAGTGGCCTCCTAGGAGTCCAGATTTTGACAATAATGGATTTTTTCCTATGGGGTCCACTGAAACAAATTGTTTATCGCACACCTCTAATAGATTCCATATTGATCAATTAAAGGGTGCTGATGCTATTGCTTCAATATCTTAGACGAGGTTAGAAGAAATTTTGATGAATTACTTGTTCGTTTAAAAACATGTGCTCAATAAGGTGGCAGTGTGTTTGATTAAATAAACTTTGAATTGTTAATTTGAAATAATTTAATTTGTATAAAATAATATAATATAATATAATATAATAATAATATTTTTTCGAAAATTGGTATTAGAGAGTGCCTTTTACTTTTGAACAACTTTTCCTAGTAACTTATTTCCACACTTCACAAATAAGTGCACTTTACTCTTGTACCATTTAAAGTTTTTTCAATTTTTTGAACACCCCGTACAAGAAATGTAAAATTTTTCTATCCCAATTTTACTTTATGAACTAGCAAAATTTTGTATCAAGAGTAACTTTTTTCGATATAAGGAAAAATAAGAAAGTTTTTCCTATTCAACACCTTTTCTATGGACATACTGTATATGCAACCCTTTTCAACATCTCAGGTCGGCCACCCCTATTTCAATTTTTTAATAAAAAAATTAAGTCATATTTTTTTAATGAACTAAAAAAAAGGGCTCGTATTTCGAAACTATAATTACCTCGAATCCTACTTTATCATAATTTTCTTTTTCGGACCATATTTAGAAAAATTGTATTTATAAATTTTCTAAAAACTAGATTAAAAAAAATTCGTAGGAGACACGATTTACAATTTTTAATTATAAATAGTTTTCACTTTTACGTATTTTCTAAACTTACTATTTTCTGTTAATATTATTGTGCTGTAACATATTTCGTTTGATATTTACATTTAATCTGAGCCCGGTTCTGTTAACAGCCGTGTATCCCCGAACTCTACCATCACAACGTTGACATATTTGTGTCAATTTGTCATTTTCTCAGACGGTGTTTTTCTTTTAAGTACCATCAAATGTATTTAATGGACATTTTTAATGAACTATTGGGTATTCAAGTGAAATACATATGGTGATCTAAAAGAATAATGAAATGGCAGACATGGTTAAAAGTGTATTTTTTGTGCAATGAAAGAGCACATGCGACAAAAAAATGTGTATGGGGATTAGTACGAGGCTAAAAGAAATATTCCAAATGAACATAAGCAAATTGATAAATATGATAAAATCCAGGGGATCTACCACAGTTGGTACACCTAGATTTGTCACAAACGTCAAGGAAGTAGGTATATCTATTTGAACATATACACGTAAAAATTTAAGGAAAATTTAAACAAAGGTTGAAATTTTTTAACTTTAAACCTGTTTCTTTCTATTTTATACAAAAACTTTAATGATTCTGCGTTACACAGGCAATACTTCACAACGGATCTACGTTATGCGTAAATTCTACGGTAAAGTCAGAAGTTCTCAAAAGTTTTTTATTGAAAAATCATGCACATTTATTTTAAATCTGACATTCTTATTTAACTATACAATCTTACTAAATTTACTTCTCTTATTTTCTCTCACACGTTTCACCTTGTCTTATACGAATCTAACTTGGGCATTTATACCGATTTTTGTAGCGCTCTTCTGGTTCATCTGACAGTATAAGGAAAACGCCAAGGCGGCTGCCAAACGCGTCCTGCCATTAGCTCGAGGTTAAAAGCCATATTTATAGCCTTTTATACGACTTTTAGAATCGAAACGTATCTATTTCAGGCGGCTGAAACTGAAAATGGCACCAAACAGAGCGAGAAGCACACACACAGGTAGGTATGAGATGGCGGTGATAATAAGAGAGTTACGGCCTGTCAATATGATGTTAGCAGATGCAACGAGATGCGATCATTTCAATAGGCAGTAAGTAAGTACAAATGTTAAACGAACTACCTGATACTTCCTATTGAGACCTGTTGCAGAAGAATCCAGTCACGGATAATGGCTTTTAACATTGTTAAGGTAATTTCCAATTATTTAAATAACAATTTATAATAATAATGAAAGTTTCATGGTTGCATGTTAGAGAATTGGCAACAATTTTAAGAAAAAACATCGATCTTTTTCATTTTTTGTCAACAGCAAAATTGCATTAAAAAAAATTGGACCGAGCTGTCTTGTAGAAAATTTCATTTAAAACAAAAATGATGTCTTGCATTTTCTTCTCAGAGTGCAATCTAACCGAGATATTGAAGAAAAACAGATGAAAAAGAATTTTTGCGACGTACATTGTTATATAACATCTTTGTAGCCAAATTGTAACAAAATTAAAAGATGCACTTCAGTTACTTGCTGCATAAAATAGTAACAGAAATAGCAAATCATGTAATTTACATCCCATATCACTGTAACACTATCTTTTCATAAAAATTAGTCGACAAAGTAAACACAAACCACTGACAGCGGGGACACAAACATTGTTATTAAAGTCCGCTAAAGAAAGGACTGCGTTAAATAGAGATGAAACCAACCAAGCGTTGCAGAAATAATTTATATCTTCATTTCTATAAATAAATCTCCTGCACACACGCCTGTAAATACTGAAACAGTTTTCTGGGACATGTTCCGGAGCAAGAAAAACCGCCTCGGGGAAATATACATTTCTAATTGCCATTTCAAACGCAATAAAAAGCCCGACATGTTCGCTGAATCGAGAGAGGCAAGATTAACGGCTGGAAGGAAAGGATGTGCAAACTGGTGTTACAGTTATGGGTGTAAAAAATGTATTCCACTG